ACGTGGAACCGACGGGCTGCAAGGCGCGTGGCCGTGCATTCACACACCCCGCCCCCATGAAACCGAATCCGCCTGAGCCCAGTTTAGTCCAAGCCAACCCTCAATCAATCCAACCTGCCTGAACCCCATATCCCGCTGAACCGATCCCAACACGATCCAGTCAAACCCAACCCAAAGCAGCGCAACCTCACTCAATGAAATTCAACCCCAAACCCAGCTCGCGTGATTACAGCCCGAACCAACCGAATACAAAACAACGAAACCCGGTTCATTCCAACCAACCAACACACGCACATACACCCCATAACACAAACCCAGAGAAACCCAACCCAGTCGAATCCAGCACACCCCAATTCAGAGAAACAAAAGCTCAAAACAGATGAAAATGGAACATTTTTCTCAGCAAGACTGAAGTCCTTTCCATTTTAATGAACGGCAAAAGGTTACTCTATCATTTCCCACTACCACCCATCTCTCTGTCCCCCTCTCTCCCAGTCACAGTTGAATACAGATCCCACTGTCTGTAACAACCCTAAAAGTTTACATCTGGAGGGCTGGTGGCAGGTTCTCACTAAGCTAGAGGACTCTCAGAACGGGAATTCCTGCAAAAGCTCAAATACTGGGATATTCAGGTTTCAAAGGGACACGCCGTGTTAGTCTGTTTCAGCAAAAACAAGGAGGTGTCCTGTGGCACCTTAAAGACTAACAAATTATTTGGGTATAAGCTTCTGTGTTAGTCTTTAAGGTGACACAGGACTCCGCGTTGGTTCTTCGGATATTCAGGGAATCCTTTGAAGCCTTTGTGCATTAAGCCAGACTTTCCCTGAATGAGCTCCGTGTGTTCACTCGGATGTAATTTATCCTCGGAGGGGAGGGGGTCTTTGGCGAGTGATTCAACTTGGATATTTAAATGTGATGTTTGTGGAAGAGGGGATTTTCGGAAGCACCAAAGCTAGAGGCGCAATTCCTATTGGGGAAAAAAATCCGTGGGACTCCCTCCTCACTGTGCACCAGTAAACAAGAATTCTTGAGAAATAGGTCTTTGGGAAGTGGGGGTCCTAGATTTCTCCGACATGTAATTTACTCTATGTACAACCAGTCACTGTACTTCCTACTTCATGTTACCGCTTGCAAAGAGAGTCAGACTTCCCAGCAAACCAAGACACGCTAAAGAAGGTCTGAGGAAGGCAAGGACGCCGTTCAGAAGCGAAACCAACCACGCTTCATTTCCTGTGGGCTAGGAAGGGCTCTGAGTTCCGCATACGCCCCTTATTAGGCCAGTGTCTGAAGAAATTGGGTGAGTCTATCACACTGAGGCAGGACGCTGTCTCTTCAGGGCTGAAGGGTTCAGTACGGAATTGAAATCGGAGCCACTTTGCTTAAAACTATGAGCAAACGTGTGATGTTCAGCCTTTTTGTTTTCACTCTATATCCAGGTAGTTGGTCATAGAGTTTGTCCCATTGCTCCCGAATCTCTCTCTCTCTCTCTTTCTGTACACACAGACACACACGGCTTCCCTATTTCCACCTCTCTCTCCCTCTCAAAGCTTATGCTCAAATAAATTTGTGAGTCTCTAAGATGCTACAAGTCCTCCTTTTCTTTTTGCGAATACAGACTAACACGGCTGCTACTCTGAATCCCTCTCCTTGCAGTCTCTCTTTCTGTCCCCCATCTCCTCTCTCTCAATCTACCAGTCCAAGGTTATCGTAGTGAGCGCTCAGACTGCATACAACTAGTACATTTTATGTCTTGTTGCAGGTGCTGTGCTGGGTGACCGTGACTCGCTCCAGCCCAGGGAACCCCAGATGTCTGGAGCTGAAGGCGGCTCCGTGACCCTCAGCTGTTCATATGAAACCAGCTACCCTGCTGGTGTCTATCTCTACTGGTACCGTCAGTATCTGAACCGAGCCCTGCAGTACATCCTGCGGAGAGGAACGAAGGAAGTCAGCTACGTCAGTGATACAGCAGGCTTCGCCCAGGAGAGGTTTTCTTCCCAGGCTGATGGCAACTCCACAGCTCTGAACATCACAGCCCTGGAGCTGGCAGACACGGCGGTGTATTACTGCGCCCTGCAGCGGGCCCAGTGACAGAGCCTCACAGCAGAGCTGTACAAAACCCTCCCCTTCCCTTCACCTTCAGGAGCTCTGCATGGAAGAGGGACCAGAGAGAACGTCCCCATGACCCAGCATTCGCCCCCTGTGAGGGATGCAGGGCTGGGCCACAGCTCAGACACACAGGTGCTGTCCTCCCTGTCAGCATCTCGCTGACAGATTACAGAATGTGCACACACACACACACACACACACACACACCACCTCTCTTGAAAATGCCACTCATCAAAACAAATGGATACATGCCTCCATAAATACCTGTGATTGAATGGAGGCCTTCCTTCCTCGGGCTCTTAAATCCCAGCCCAAATGTTTAAACTCAGCAGGGTCTGTCTCTATGACTCCAAAGAGAAACTGCTGAACTGGAATTAATTTGAAAACTGGACACCATTACATTTGGCTTGAATAAAGACTGGGAGTGGATGGGTCATTACACAAAGTAAAACTATTTTGCCATGTTTATTTCCCCCCTACTGTTACTCACACCTTCTTGTCAACTGTTGGAAATGGGCCATCCTGATTATCACTACAAAAGGTTTTTTTTTAATCCTGCTGATAATAGCTCACCTTAACTGATCACTGTCATTATAGTGGGTATGACAACACCCATTTTTTCATGTTCTCTGTGTGTATATATATCTTCCTACTGTATTCCACTCGCATCACATGAACTTGGGCTCAAATAAATTTGTTAGTTTCAGGAGCCACAACTACTCCCCTTTCTTTTTTCTCTCTTCGGGGGGGGGGGGGCCCCCCAAACCACGGAGCCCCGGGGGCAGCGGAGGCTAGACATACCCACAGTGCTCCTCCTCCTAATGCCCCTCACTCATCACAGAACTTGGGTGATTTACACAGTTACTTAATGACAGAGGACTCAGAGATCCAAAAAGTTAAAGCCATGTGACCATTAAAACATGATGTTGATAATTCATATGTCAAATGCAAAGTAAACAACTATAACTCAAACTCCAAATAAGTTCTCAAACCAGTATTTTTCTTAACTGAAATTTACAGCGAGGCAAAGGGCTATCAAGGGAAGTACTTGTACCTAGGTTTGTGTGGCATACTGTGAAATCCACATTTTTTTACTTTTACTGCTAAAAACTAATCCTTCCAAATCTACATATAAGGCTTACAGAGGACTCATTTCATGGATTTATTTGGCAAAGTTTTATGGCTGGCTGGCTGCCAGCCTGATAACAACTCTCCTGTTATTCCAGCCGGGTTTGGGACTGGCTATGACAGAGTTATAACCACTAATACTCACAGTAATTTACACTAAGCTGGTTTTAAATGGCGAATTCTAGTGAGAAGATTTTTTTTTCCTTAGGAAGCAAAGAAACACTTTCCCCAGACTCCTGTAACTAAGGAATGGCTTGTAGGAACTATCCAATCTTTAAAATAATCTCTTCTGGGGACAAGTAACACAGCGATACACAGATTTTCAAGGTCAAAATGAAGCATTATGCACATGCAGGTTGACCTCCTGCATAACAGGGGCTGGATAATTTCTCTCAATGACTCCTGCACAAAACCAACAGCTGATGATTCCTCTAGAGAAACATAAGAAATTCCATGTGAAAATAAGCCTCCCCCCGTCTAGAGAAATATCTGAATGGCTCATGGAAGAGAAGTCCATCAACAGCTAGTAGCCAAGATGGTCAGGGATGCAGCCCCATGCTCTTGATGTCCCTAAGCCTCTCTGACTTCCAGAAGCTGGGACTGGACGACAGGGGACGGATCACTCGATAATTGTCCTGTTCTGGTCATTCCCTCTGAAGCATCTGGCACTGGCCACTGTTGGAAGAGAGGACACTGGGCTAGATGGACCTTTGGCCATACTGGGCCAGACCATTCTTACGTTTTCTAGCTGCTTTGTCAAAATTACTGGCATGATTTATTGTGTCCACAAGGGGGCGCGCCTGACGTTCTGGGAATTACATTTTATGTTGTGTTTTATTTTAAATCCAACACTCGCCTGGATAGCATCTCTTTCGGGACTCTCCTGTCATAAAGAGGAGAAGGAAGAGGGGGAAGTCACAGAGTGGGCTCTTTTACAGCACTCACTTTCTGTTCATAAACAAAACAGGAGGAAGAATGATTTTTATAATTGGATAAGGTGCCTAGCTGTTATCTTTGTGACCCGTCTGTGTCGATTTCAGTTCCTTCTGCTCTTCCCATGTCCGGGAGGATCTTTCCGTTTCTATCCCTGTGTCGTGTTAGAGCCACCATGCTGTGCAAACGGAGCCCGATGCGTCGTTATCTCAGTTATATAAATGCGAGTTAATAAATGCATGAATTTACAACCTTTAAATCAAAATATTTGTTGTCAATAAAAGAAATCACCCCACAAATCTTGGAAAATCGTAACAGGATTTCCTGCAGCCGGAAACATGCTGTAGAAGACATTGGGCGAGGTTCTGATCTTTGTCCCATCACCGCAACTCTGACCGGGCTCTTAGCTGCTGTGACGCGTTTCAGGTCCACTGAAATCAGCATCCATCCACCCAGCTCTCTTGTCCTTCAGTCTTTCTTTTTAACCAGCTTCTTATGCAAGTAAGTCTCCCTGATGCCCTGATCAGGCAAAGAAGTCCATTTCATGTCTAGTCATTTTCTCCATTGGATAGTCACAGCTACAAACAAAACTTTTTGAAAGCTGGGGTGGGAAGAAGAGCCAGGTAGCAGACGGTTTCACAGAGAAATCAGAAGCAAACACCCCTCTCCACTCCTCATTTCCTCTGGGGTTGGGCACTGGGGTCGGATCCGCCCCCCTCGACGTTTCAGGGAGGAATCTGGAATAGTTTAACACATTCAGCCAATGACCCCGTTGCTTCGCTGTTTTCTCTGCCCCTTTGTGAATCTCAAACCAGATCCGCTTTGCTCAAACCATGGGCACGAGTTTGATACTAAGCTTTTTTATAGTTACTCTGTGCCCAGGTAATTGTGATTTTTGGTTTTGTTCATGCAGCCCCTCCCATTGCTAAATAGTCTCTCCCTAAAACAGGAACCACTGCTTTTAACTATCCGTCCCCCGCTGCCCGCCTGACTTTTGTTTGCAGTACTCTCCTCTTCTCTGTTTAATGTCTGTCTTTTTATCTCGGTCTCTCAGCTTTCTTTCCTTCCATACTCTCTCTCTCTCTCTCTCTCTCTCTCTCTCTGTGTGTGTGTTTAGGTTGGGCACTCTGATGGTATATAACGGGTATATTTCTTGTTGCAGGTGCTGTGCTGGGTGAATCGATCCAGTCCAACAAACCCGAAGTGTCTGCAGGAGTAGGCGACAATGTGACACTCAGCTGTTCTTACAATACCAGCTACTCTGATGTCTATCTCTACTGGTACCGTCAGTTTCCTGACCAAGGCCCGCAGTACGTTCTCCGAACAGGTGCCAAGGCATACAGCTCTGTCCGGGGTTTTGCAGAGTTTGCCAAGAAGAGATTTACTCCCCAGGCTGATGACACCTCTACAGTTGTGACTATCACAGCCCTGGAGCTGGCAGATTCAGCGGTGTATCTCTGCGCCCTGCAGAGGGCCCAGTGACAGAGCCTCATCCCAGTGCTGTGCAAAAACCCTCCCTTCCTTCACATGAAATTGCTCCCCTTGTCCACATGTTTGTTGACCCCTAAAAAGAACTCTAGTAGATCAGTAAGACAGGATCTCCCTTCACAGAAACCATGTTGACTTTTGCCCAACAATTTATGTTCTTCTATGTGTCTGAAAATTTTATTCTTTACCATTGTTTCAACTAATTTGCCCGGTACTGACGTTAGACTTACCGGTCTGTCAGTGCCGGGATCACCTCTAGACTCCTTTTTAAATATTGGTGTTACATTAGCTATCTTCCAGTCTCCGTCCCTGTATCATTTTGTACCACCAATCTCCTCTCACCAAGCCTGACTCCTTCTTACCTCATTGATATCTACGAGAGTAGTTATGTGCAGAGGTTTGTAATATTTTATTACGATGTGTGTTGTCTTACAAAAAACTTCATTGAGAAATGGGTTACCGTATTTTCTGAGTCTGGAAACTTCTGTTTAAAACACGGAGTCAGTTTCTATATGCCTGAGAGAACTCGACTGGTGCAGAACCGCATCTCAGATGAAAGCCATTGTAACTCCAGCAAAGCCAATCTCTATCTCTGACCAGGATGATGGCAGTCAGACCCAGTGGTTAGAGCAGGAGGGAGCCTCCAGAAGACAGAGCCAAGAGGCAAAGCCGAAATCAGGAATGGGAGTTGAGAGCCAGGTTAGGGTTACCTGCAACTTGAGGCAGGGCGGAGCTCAAAGCAGGAGCAGGGCCAGGTCAAGGCAGGAGCGGGGCGGAACAAAGAGGCTCTGGCGGTATAGCAGCCCTGGCAAGTGATTTGATTAACTGCTGCTGACACTGTCTAGCTATCTGCTGCCTGCCTGCCTGCCTGCCTGCCTTCCTTCCTGCCTGCCTGCCTGCCTCCCTCCCTCCCGCCCGCCCGCCCGCCTTCCTTCCTTCCTTCCTTCCTTTTTTAGTTACCCATTAACAAGGAAACCGCGCACTGACTAAATGCACCCCGAGGTCACCGGAACTCGCGATATCTTGCCTATGCCCTGACAATTACAAAGAAATCAGGACTTTTTCTAGACGGGGCGTGGGGGGGATCCCCAGATGAATGACCAGAAGGAAATAAACTTGATGTTGCAGTGAATTCGGCGGCAACCCCCACTTCCCTCTGCTTCCTGTGCACCGGGGGTTTTGTGTCTGTTCAGATCCGCCCCACAGAGGAGTAAGGGAGAATCTGGGTCAGGTTTTCGAGACTCTTTCTGCAGTGTGGTTTGAACGCCTCTGAGTGGAACTACCGGGGGTCTTAAACAATGAGCAAGTGTTTGCTGCTGAGCCTCTTCCTAGGTACTCGGTGTCCGGGGAGTTCCTGGTCATGCAGCTTGTGTCACTGCGTGTGAGTCTGTGTCTCTCATACCCAAGTTGCATCCTTAATTATCTTTCTACCAGCTGTTCCTTTCTTTCCCTCACTCCGCCTTTCTCTAACTCTCTTTCTATCTCTGCTCCACTCCGCTCCTCTGCTCTCTCCTGCAGTGTGCGCTCTTAGACTGTCTATATCGGGAGTGTTTCGTTTTGTTGCAGGTGCTGTGTGGGGCAATTCCATCCAATCCATTGAACCCGACGTGTCTGTCACAGAAGGAGGCGCTGTGGCAGTCAGCTGCTCCTACAGCACCGGCTATAGCGGTGTCTCTCTCCACTGGTACCGCCAGAGCCCCAGCCAAGCCCCGCAGGACATTCTCCGGGGAGGCGCGAAGGGAAGCACCATCAGTGACCACGCAGATTTTGCCCGGAGGAGGTTCACTGCTGACGCTAACGCGACTGCTACAGTTCTGACCATCGCAGGCCTGGAGCTGGGGGACGGAGCTGTGTATTATTGTGCCTTGAATGAGACACAGTGAGAGAGTCCCCGGAGACAGCTGCACAAAACCCTCCCACATCCCTCACTTGCATTCTTCCCCATCTGTCTCGGCTGTTGAGTTTGAAAAACCTTTGAAGCAGGGGCTGTCTCTCACTAGGTGTCTGTGCAGCTCCCTGCCTGACAGGGCCAGCCCAGATCTCAGTTTTATTGTCCAGGTGCCATCACCAAGACCGTCAATTTCCAACTGTGTGCTCGGAAATGCTTGGTCTCAGCGTTTTAATCTGATTTCGGGTTTTGAACACCAGATTCCCATTAAAAATGAACAGGGACGGATATAATAGATTAACAGATTTTAAAAACCAGAAGGCAGCTGGATGATTATCTCTTTGACTCCTCCATGACATAGAACGTCATCCCATAATTCCCCGCATTAAGAAGAACGTTTTCAAAAGGGCCTTTTGAAAATGGGATTTAGTGTCCTACCTCACTTAGGTACTTTTGAAAAATTTACCATAAGCCCATAACGTCTATCTAAGTTACTTTTATGGGCCCCATTAGCTGAGCTCCTCACAGCCTTGAATTATTCAATTTTCACAACACTTCTGTGATATAGGGCAGGGGTATTATCTCCATTTTAGGGATGAGGTCTTCAAGCGCAGAGAATTAACAAATTACCCATCCAAGGTCACAGAGATAGTGTTTGGTAGAGGAGGGACTAGATTCCCAAATCCTAGGCTCCTGGCCTAACTACTGGTCCAGCTTTGCTCTCAAACCTTCCTTACAAACAGAGAAGCAACTTATTTCCTCCCTCCGGGGCGGCACAGCTGAGAGGTGGCAGAGGGGAGGGCAGCAGCAGCTGCTGTTAGAGTAGCAATACCTGGCTGTAGGTTAAAAATACCTACTCTTCATATCAGTATTTCTCCTAACACTGAATCCTTTAATGAGCCACTTGTAATTGTGGTTAGGATTTTCAAGAGTTAAGCACCCAGTTTCCTCTGCAAATTCCAATGAAATTCAACTCCCTTAGGCCCTTTTGAATATCCCAGCCCTAATCTCCAGCCAACAACAACAACAAACAGAGTTTTCCTGCAAGTTTGAAGTTTGTACACCAGGGGGAATTTGAATAATGACTGGACATAGTGAGAAGAAGTTTTTTTAACATGTGCTAAGGTATCGCCTTCCTTAAAGTCTCACAGCTTAGAAAATAATAATAATAAATAATAATAATAATAATAAATAACCGGTTTCCAAAAATTCTCCTCTGGAGAAACATCACCCTGAAACTCCATGCGAATTTTCCCCTTCTGGGTGGTCTCTGACAGTTTTAGTTTTTATTGGTTGCTGTGAATATCTACTTGGGGGCGCTCCAGACCTGCATATTAACCACCTTTGACTTTGTAGCTTGCTGGTATCTGCAGTACAAGGCGGGAAGGAAATTGAAGTGGGGCTTACAGAAAAAGCAGGGCTAGTGTTTACATCGTTCGCAGTCATTAAATATAGATAAAGGAAACAACAAACAAATTAACACAAGCGGGAGAAATCTTCTCTTGCTCGCTGCAGACACCTCGTGACCCCGAGGTTAATTAGAAGCTGCAGCGAGCACGCGGTCTTGACTAGTACAGCTCCATATTCTACTGTTGTTGTCAGGTGTGATCAAGTTTTGTGATGTTCATTGTGTATGTGTAAAAGTGTGAAAGTCGAAATGTGTTTGTAAGGGCCAGGGAGCTCCCGCTCTTAACATGTTCGGGGCGAAAAAAAAAATCCCTGAACTGTGACATTGAATATCGCGTGGTATTTAGGGAAGAAAATTATTCTCCCTTTATAAAGAAAAGACGCCATTCTGTATTCGGGCTGGGATTCACAGATCTGCCTATCGGATCCGGGTAGCCAGTTCCCATCAATTTTAGGACGTCTGATCTGCTTCTCTTAGGCGGCTTTGAAGATCTCAGCTGCAACCTTTCTAAAAATGAGTATGAGAAAAAATACAGATATAGACAAATAGATATATCTTGCAGAGAGGGGAAGGACAAATAGATAGAGAGGGTATATGGGGATAGGTAGATAGAGGGAGTGTGGGGGACAATTAGCTATCTAGTTAGAGAATGTGTGTGGGGTTAGATAGATAGATAGATAGAAAGGGTGTATGGGCATAGATCACATCTATTGGAAAACCCTTTGAGATCTTCAGTGGACAGCAGACAAAGCGGTGCTAATTTTTATAGTTAATTTGCATCTACTCTTTTTGCAGGACTAAGTACCGAGAAGAACAGTGTCACCCAAAGAGAAGGACAGCTGAGCGGGATACAAAGTGAATCTGTCACACTGGACTGTACTTTCTCGACTGAAGATGCAGGTTATGACACATACTGGTACAAACAGGACAGTAGCAGCCAGACGAAGTACCTCTTCCGAAGGTCTTCCCAAAGGGAGCACAACGGGGCTGGGAGCCGGTTCTCACTGGACTTCAGGCGAGCCGAAAAATACGTGGGTCTGAGAATTGCGGCGTTAGAACCAAGCGATTCGGCGATGTATTTCTGTGCTATAGATGAGGGGGCCTTAAGTTACCACTGCGGGAGGGTTAATAGAGGGACCTTTACAAAAATCCAGTGATTAGTTTTCTCTTGACTCGGAGACAAAACTGGCGCAGATAGAAATCAGCAGAAAGAGACACAACAAGCCACAAGCAGCGGTTTGAATCAAACGGTGCAGGGTGTGACGGAAACCGCACGGGCACTAACTGTGTGGAAATGTCACCCTCTTCCAGGAACCGTCCCCGCACCTCCCCCAAAATACCCAGAACCTCATGAGCCAGATGTCAGTACCTGTCACACCACAATTCCCATGAATAGCTCCGTCTGCTTTTGGGGCCAGACCCCAGCAGGTGGGAATCAGACCCCGCTCCAGTAGCGTAAACGGGCCAAAGTCTCAGCTGGTGTAAATCAGGGTTCCCCATTGAATTCAGTGGGCCAGACCCCAGGTAGCCTAAATCGCCCTAGGGTCAATGGCCCAGATCCCCAGGTCGTGAGTCAACGGGTTAACTTTGCTTCACGCTGGAGAAAGAACCCTGGGCAAAATTTTTCTCTGGGCTGTGAACAGGGAGGGCCCTGCCCAGATCTGTGGCAATGGGATCCATGTGCAGTCCCGTGTGTGTATGTGTGTGTGTGTGTTTTAGCCTTTGAAAAAAGTAAAAAGACGCTCGACCTTGTGATTCTTGCTGAGCTCTTGTCTCCGAAGATGAGACAGAGTTAAGTTGCTCCTACTGAGCTGCGAAAGAGATCTGGAGGTTAGAAAGGTGCCACGTGACAGGAACCAGCCAAAGCCACAGCGGGTGGGGTAAACGCTACCGGAGGGTATTAGCTGTTACATGGTGAGGGAAACAGCCTTCAACTAGGGTCTATAGGAGAGGACTAAATGGAGGTTTTGCCACAGATTTAATGTCTCTGATTTGCTTCTGTGAGAGCAACTTCACAATAAGTTTCTGTTCTGTCCGGGTTCCTGTATTGCACCCATCATTGTGGTGGCTTTCGCCCCGAAGGTCTGGGAACAATACATTTAACCATGAATGCTCCAGAACTCTTGATTTGGATGGCAACAGCGTTCCTCTCTTGGAGTAAGTGTCCGGTAAAAGGGGAAACGAGTGTTAGATCTTCCGTTACCCAGTGGGTTTGAGCAGGGGGTGGAATTAGAAGCCAGAATTCCTGGGTTCTGCTCACAGCTCACGGAGGGGAGCAGGGGTCTAGCAGCTTAAAGGAGGGGGTCTGGCCTCTTGATTTCTATTCTCACTTCTGGGAGAGGAGGAGAGTCTAGAGGTTGAGAGCAGTTAGACTGAGAATCAGGACTCCTAGGTCCTATGTCGAGCGCTGACTGGGGATCATGCTGTAGTGGGTAGAGCATGGACGATTAGGACTCAGGACTCCTGGGTTCTATTCCCAACTTCACTGCTGCCTTACTAGAAGTCGGGCAAACCCATCCCGCATTCTGTGCCTGCCTCATTCTCTTTGTACAAAATACCTAAAAACAATCTTTCCATTTCTGGGAGGCCGTGAATCCTAAAGGGACTCTTGTTCTCCTCACACTAGAACGGCTGTAGATGTGCGACAGGTTTACATGCTTAATTAAAGTGAACTTTTCCTGCATCTCTTTCCTTCCCTGCAGGTTTCAGCCAGGGACAAGGCAGTGTCACGCAAACACAAAGGCAGCTGGAAAAGTTGGGGGGTCAGACTGTCACCCTGGAATGTACTTTCTCCACTGGATACCAGAATTACTACTTATTTTGGTACAGACAGCAACGATCAGGGAGGATGGATTTCCTCTTCCGAATAGATCAGAGTAACACTGAAAAGAAGGGAGCCGGGAGACGGTTTTCTGCACAATTTAGGAAATCCTCAAAATTCTTCAGTTTAACCATTAAAGAGCTAGAGCCGACGGACTCGGCGATGTATTTCTGTGCTCTGTGGGAAGGCACCGTGAGGCGTTTAATAGGAAGCCCTGTACAAAAACCCACCCCCTTGGCTTTCTCACCATGAGAAACACAACTGCAGAGTAGAATCCCTAGGCCCAGACAGAAGGTTAAACCAGATGGAGGGGCTGGTATGAATCACAGGACCTGACAGCTATGAAGCCTTCTGAGCCTCATTGACCATTGATCAGAGGGGTAGCCGTGTTAGTCTAGATCTGTGTGCACCTGACGAAGCGGGTATTCACCCACGAAAGCTTATGGTCCAATATGTCTGTTAGTCTATAAGCTGCCACAGGACTCTTTGCCGCATTCACCATTGTATCGCCCCAGAGTAACCTCAGTTTACCCACAGTGGGTCTGCTCCTCAACTGAGGTGAATCACTGTGGGCCAGATGGAGTCAACTGGGCCAGGTCCACCACAGGTATCAATCAGCTGTACTCCCAGTGGGGCTGGATTCCCCTATCTGGAGTAAACCAGCATGGGGCCAGTGGGATAGATACACAAAGGCTCCACACACAGAAGCACGCAGACACACACACGTGCAAACACACAAACATAGAGACAGAAAGAAAGACACCCACAAAACCAGCACACACAACACAGAGCTTTTAAGTCTTCCCACAATGTCTTTAATTCAGTTCTCACCAAGTAGCAACAAGAAGGACAATAAAAATGAATAAGAAAAAAAAGACAGAAAGTCAGAAACCGATCTTCCAGGAAGTGCAGTGGAAGGAATTTGTCCCACCAGTTCTCACCTGCGCTTCAATTGCCGACTAATCTGAACCCAGCACGTTTCCTGTGTCTGTTACTCATTTCCCGAACTCCGCCCTCTTCTGCTTGGCTGGTCCCGCAGTAACCGCTCCCAGCCCTTGTTCCGAGAAGTTGCCTTTTAGATTCTTGTCGCCGCGACTTCTCAGCTTGTCCGGCTGCCGCTGTCTGAGGCACCATGGAGACGCGTTTCATTCTCAGCCTTTCGGTCTTTAGCCAGCTAGGTACCCGGGCTCTGGGTTTTTGGAAGACGCGTCATGGAATTCGGCTCCCAACTCCCGTTCTACCCAGAATCTGAACCCTGATCCCAACCCTGACCCAGATCCGAACGCCCCGGCTATCCTTAACCTTAATTTTTGCGCTAACCTTAATTTGTTTGAAATTAGGCTGATAAACCCCTTGGGCTCTTTAAAAATTCTCAGCCTAGACATGCCAGTGCACCTGGATGTCCTTGAACGTGAGTGTCTTGTTGCAGGTGCGGTGCTGGGTGACTCGGTCCAGTCCAATGAACCCGAGGTGTCCAGGTCAGAAGGCGGCTCCGTGACCCTCACCTGTTCTTATGAAACCAGCTACACTGCTGGTGTCTATCTCTACTGGTACCGTCAGTATCCGAACCGAGCCCCGCAGTACATTCTCCTGAGAGGAACGAAGGAAGTCAGCTCTGCCAGCGATACCGCAGATTTCGCCCAGCAGAGGTTTTCTTCTCAGGCTAATGACAGCGCCACAGTTCTGAACATCGCAGCCCTGGAGCCGGCAGACACGGCGTTGTATCTCTGCGCCCTACGTCTGGCACAGTGACAGAGCCTCATAACAGAGATGTACAAAAACCCTCCCAGCCCTGCTGCAGGGGATCGTACAGGCATTAAAACGGGCAGCAGCGCCTTGAAAGAGAGTATTTGCTCTGCTTAAATATACAACTCCCCTTAAAAGCTAAATGTTTATTTAAAGAGCTAATTTAAACTTCGCCCTTGGATAAGATAATGGCCCTGATCTTTAATTAGGAAACTATTAACACCTCTTTTCCTGGCGTCAGGGATGACCCATATCTGTGTTGTTTGTGTGGGGGGTAATCATTTGTGGTAAAATAAGTGTTCAAGGTGAGTACAAATGTAGGCAAAGTGAACTATTGTTGAAAATACAAATTGAGATAAAATTGGAATGAAAAATTTCCTTTACACTTGGACAATATACTGTTAAATTGCTCATTTATGGTGAAATGGGGGTAAAATAGGCGAGTCAAAATGAGGGGGGAATTGTTGGAAATACCCATTTTTGAGTGGTGGTGTAAAGCTGCAGTTACCAACTCTTCCAGAGTCAAATCAATGCTCCTACTGTAGAGACAGTTGCCTTTTGGGGTAGATTTGCTTGGAAACTATTTAGTTGCAAGACACTATTCCCGAGACTATATGCTGAGAACCATGAACTCTTAACATGACAAAGCGTCGCCATTTGCTGGAGGAAAATATAAACACGGGTTGTCTTTTGAAACCCTTCTGTGCTCTATAGGTCTCCACTTAAACTGAGGCTGAGGGAAAAGGCAGCAGTGGAAAGACGAAAATAATTTAAAATAATTCTTTCAGGAGTTCTGACTGGGCATTTCAAAGGAGGGTAACGGAGTTGGGCTCCTCATCCCGTTACATTTTTCTTATGATAGCCCCCGAAATTGACTGCGGATAAACATATTCATGCCCAATACTAATGATACATGAGTACGTCAAGAAATCTCAGCAGTCCCTATAGGATCTGGGGACCCCCCCCCCCTTTTTTTTTTTTACAACTAGGGAAACTGAGGCATGGTCACACACAGAGTCTGTGGAGGGCGCAGCAGATCTCTGAGTCCCAGAGCAGACCCTTCCCCACAACCCCCCACCTCCACACCCACCCCGAAGCACACTGATATGTCAGCTGCTGGCCGACCTGAACCCTCTGCGTTTTCTGGATCTCCGATGAATTTCCCAAACTCCTCCCTCTTCCTCTACGTTGGTTTCTAATGAATCTTCCACTGTTCTTGCTGCGCTCACTGGCGGGTCGTCTATATTCCTCTCAGGCAGCGGCAGTAGCTGTGCGTTTGAAACTGGGTAGCTAGAGAAGATACTATGGAGGCGCCTTTTCTTCTCAGCATTTGGATATTCAATCTCCTAGGTAACTGGGATTTCAAAGAAGTCTAAGGGAACGAGACATTCAATAATCATCAACCTAACCCTATACCGAACCCGAACCCTAACTGTAACCCTTACCCTACGCCCTAACCAAAATGCGAATGCTACAACCTGACAGTTCACCCTCACCATAACCCTGAACCCTTGTTCATACCCTCGCCTTAATCCTAACTTTAAACCCCCAACCCTTCTCCTGCTCACAGCATTGATTCCTATGGAGTTAGGCGCCTAAATCCCTTAAACGCCTTTGAAGTTCCCTGAAACACCAAATGCAGGTGGAATCCTTTCCAAGGCTCAACTACAGCTGAAATGTTGTCCTTTAAAGTGTTTCTCTTTCTTTCTGATGAAGTGAGCTGTGGCTCACGAAAGCTCATGCTCAAATAAATTGGTTAGTCTCTAAGGTGCCACAAGTACTCCTTTTCTTTTTGCGAATACAGACTAACACGGCTGTTCCTCTGAAACCTCTCTTTCTTCAGGCTCTGCGCTGGGCGACTCGGTCAAATCCAATCAACTCGAAGTGTCTGGATCAGTTGGAGGTTCTGTGACACTCACCTGTTCTTACACCACCAGCGATACGTATGTCTACCTCTCTTGGTACCGTCAGTATCCGAACCAAGCCCCGCAGTACATTCTCCAGAGAGGAGCAAAAGGGAGCACGTTCAGTAATACCGCAGGTTTCGCCCAGCAGAGGTTTTCTTCCCAGGCTAATGACAGCGCCACAATTCTGAACATCGCAGCCCTGGAGCTGGCGGACAGCGCGGTGTATTACTGCGCCCTACAGAGAGCACAGTGACAGAGCCACACAGGAGAGCCGTACAAAAACCCTCCCTTCCCTGATGCAGATAAGGATGTGCACATTGAGGTTGGAAGCGGAGCCCCTCGGGAGTTTTGCTGTTAAAAACACACATTCTGGCTCCAGCGTGGTGCTGTCAGATTACTCCTTCCTAATCTCTCCAAACGGCCTGTATTAAAATAGTGGTTTCCATATGAGGAGAGATGAATAAAACTGGGACTTTTCAGCTCGAAAAAGAGTCGACTCAGGGGGGATGTGATAGAGGTTTATAAAATCATGACTGGTGTGGAGAAAGTAATTAAGGAAGTGTTATTTATTCCTTCTCATAACACAAGAACCAGGGGTCACCCAGTTAAATGAATACACAGCAGGTTTAAAACAAACAAAAGGAAGTATTTCTTCACACAGCACACAGTCAGCCTGTGGAACTCCTTGCCAGAGGGTGTTGTGAAGGCCAAGACTATAACAGGGTTCAAAAAGGAACTAGTTGGACGTTTGGTCTGATCCAGTATGGCTGCTCTTATATTTTTACCCCCTATTATATGAGGGAAAGATTAAAGGCCCAAGATGTATAAAGGAAAGATTGGATTATTTGTTCTGGTTCTGGATCAGGGGCAGTTATGTCCCACAGGTCTTCCAGGGGGGTACATCAACTCCTCTAGATATTTGCCTAGTTTTATAACAGGCTACATAAAAGCACTAGCAAAGTCTGCACAAACTATTTCATAGGGACAATGACTTGTTTCTACTGCTGTACATACTACACACCAAAATGTAAATATGCTATTTATATTCCAAATGATTTATGTTATCATTAGTGGTAAAAATAAAAAGTAAGATTTTTTTCAGTAATAAGGTGGCTGTGAAATTTTTGTATTTTGATTTCTGATTTTCTAAGCAACTAGGTGAGTTGTAACTTGTGGTATGCAAGACCAATCAGATTCCTGAAAGGGTACCTATCCTGAAGGACGACCCATCCCTCTCACAGATCTTGGGAGACAGGCCAGTCCTTGCTTCCAGACAGCCCCCCAACCTGAAGCAAATACTCACCAGCAACCACACACCACACAACAGAACCACTAACCCAGGAACCTATCCTTGCAACAAAGCCCGTTGCCAACAGTGTCCACATATCTATTCACGGGACACCATCACAGGGCCTAATCACATCAGCCACACTATCAGAGGCTCGTTCACCTGCACATCCACCAATGTGATATATGCCATCATGTGCCAGCAATGCCCCTCTGCCATGTACATTGGTCAAACTGGACAGTCTCTACGTCAAAGAATAAATGGACACAAATCAGATGTCAAGAATTATCACATTCATAAACCAGTCGGAGAACACTTCAATCTCTCTGGTCACGCAATCACAGACATGAAGGTCGCTATCTTAAAACAAAAAAACTTCAAATCCAGACTCCAGCGAGAAACTGCTGAATTGGAATTCATTTGCAAATTGGATACTATTAATTTAGGCTTAAATAGAGACTGGGAGTGGCTAAGTCATTATGCAAGGTAGCCTGTTTCCTCTTGTCTTTTCCTACCCCCCCCCCCCAGATGTTCTGGTTTAACTTGGATTTAAACTTGGAGAGTGGTCAGTTTGGATGAGCTATTACCAGCAGGAGAGTGAGTTTGTGTGTGTATGGGGGTGGGGGGGATGTGAGAAAACCTGGATTTGTGCAGGAAATAGCCCGACTTGATTATGTAAAGAGTTGTCACTTTGGATGGGCTATCACCAGCAGGAGAGTGAATTTGTGTGGGGGGGGTGGAGGGTGAGAAAACCTGGATTTGTGCTGGAAATGGCCCACCTGATGATCACTTTAGATAAGCTATTACCAGCAGGACAGTGGGGTGGGAGGAGGTATTGTTTCATATTCTCTGTGTATATATAAAGTCTGCTGCAGTTTCCACGGTATGCATCCGATGAAGTGAGCTGTAGCTCACGAAAGCTCATGCTCAAATAAATTGGTTAGTCTCTAAGGTGCCACAAGTACTCCTTTTCTTTTTGCGAATACAGACTAACACGGCTGTTACTCTGAAACACATCTACCAATGTGATAGATGCCATCATGTGCCAGCAATGCCCCTCTGCCATGTACATTGGTCAAACTGGACAGTCTCTACATAAAAGAATAAATGGACACAAATCAGACATCAAGAATTATAACGTTCAAAAACCAGTCGGAGAACACTTCAATCTCTTTGGTCACTCGGTTACAGACCTAAAAGTTGCAATTCTTCAACAAAAAAAACTTCAAAAACAGACTCCAACGAGAGACTGCTGAATTGGAATTAATTTGCAAACTGGATACAATTAATTTAGGCTTGAATAAAGACTGGGAGTGGATGGGTCATTACACAAAGTAAAACTATTTCCCCATGTTTATTCTCCCCCACCCCATTGTTCCTCAGACATTCTTGTCAACTGCTGGAAATGGCCCACCTTGATTATCACTACAAAAGGCTTTTCCCCTCCCCACTCTCCTGCTGGTAATAGCTCACCTTAAGTGATCACTCTCCTTACAGTTTTCAGAGGAACAGCCGTGTTAGTCTGTATTCGCAAAAAGAAAAGGAGTACTTGTGGCACCTTAGAGACTAACCAATTTATTTGAGCATGAGCTTTCGTGAGCTACAGCTCACTTACAGTGTGCATGGTAACACCCATTGTTTAATTACAGGTTTCAGAGTAACAGCCGTGTTAGTCTGTATTTGCAAAAAGAAAAGGAGTACTTGTGGCACCTTAGAGACTAACCAATTTATTTGAGCATGAGCTTTCCTGAGCTACAGCTCACTTCATCGGATGCATACCGTGGAAATACCATTGTTTAATGTTCTGTATGTATATAAATCTCCCCACTGTATTTTCCACTGAATGCATCTGATGAAGTGAGCTGTAGCTCACGAAAGCTTATGCTCAAATAAATGTGTTGGTCTCTAAGGTGCCACAAGTCCTTCTTTTCTTTTTGTAAAAGGGTACAGGTAGTCTGGAAAGGTTGAGAGCCATAAGAACAGCCATACTGGTTCAGATCAAATATCCATCTAGCTCAGTAGCCTGTCTTCTGACAGTGGCCAGTGCCAGGTGCCCAGGAAGAATGAACAGAACCGGTAATCATCTAGTGATCCATCCCCTGTCACCTTGTCAAGGTTCCTCCCCCACTCTGAACTCTAGGGTACAGATGTGGGGACCTGCATGAAAAAACCCCCTAAGCTTATCTTTACCAGCTTAGGTCAAAACTTCCCCAAGGTACAAAATATTACACCCGTTATCCTTGGAATGGCCGCTACCACCACCAAACTAATACTGGTTACTGGGGAAGAGCTGTTTGGACTCGTCTTTCCCCCCAAAATACTTCCCCAAAACCTTGCACCCCACTTCCTGGACAAGGTTTGGTAAAAAGCCTCACCAATTTGCCTAGGTGTCTACAGACCCAGACCCTTGGATCTTAAGAACAATGAACAATCCTCCCAACACTTGCACCCCCCCCTCTCCTGGGAAATGTTGGATAAAAAGCCTCACCAAATTTGCATAGGTGACCACAGACCCAAACCCTTGGATCTGAGAACAATGAAAAAGCATTCAGTTTTTTAAAAGAAGACTTTTAATAAAAAATAGCAGTAAATAGAAATAAAGAAATCCCCCCTGTAAAATCAGGATGGTAGATATCTTACAGGGTAATTAGATTCAAAACATAGAGAACCCCTCTAGGCAAAACCTTAAGTTACAAAAAAAGTACACAGACAGAAATAGTTATTCTATTCAGCACAATTCTTTTCTCAGCCATTTAAAGAAATCATAATCTAACACATACCTAGCTAGATTACTTATTAAAAGTTCTAAGACTCCATTCCTGTTCTGTCCCTGGCAAGAGCAGCACACAGACAGACCAAACCCTCTGTTTCTCTCCCTCCTCCCAGCTTTTGAAAGTATCTTGTCTCCTCATTGGTCATTTTGGTCAGGTGCCAGCGAGGTTACCTTTAGCTTCTTAACCCTTTACAGGTGAGAGGAGCTTTCCCCTGGCCAGGAGGGATTTCAAAGGGGTTTACCCTTCCCTTTATATTTATGACACACCTATTCCCAGCGTTTGGCACACAGAGGTGAGGGACACCATCCCTGCCCATCCTGGCTAATAGCCATTGATGGACCTATCAGCCACGAACAATGCTGCACAGTCCTTGGGCCATTCTTTCTATGGGTAAAAAGTTCAAATGGAAATCACTGGGACTCTGAATAAAACTGATGATGGGGTTGGAATAAATAAAATAATAATAATTAATAATAGATATTTGTCAATAATCAGCTGCAACATCCCTAGAGGTAGGTGCTGTGTAAAGAACAATGAGGGATCATGCCTGATCCAAGGTAACAAAGAAGAAGAAGGTTATCAGGATAATCAATGAGGGATGCTCTCTATAAATAAATTCAGGGGCAACATTTTCCGACTAACCTCTCCCTCACCCGCTCTGTGTAACAGGCTCCAGCATGGAAGATGCTCTAACGCAGAACCAGCCGGCGGCGTCAGGCGTGGAGGGTGGGTCCGTGACCTTGGACTGCATTTAGGAAACTGATGCTAGCTACTATTCTGTGTATTGGTACAAACAACGTCGGGTGGAAAAGCTTGTTTTCCTACTTTTCGAATATTCCACAGGGTCAAAGAAGAAAGAGGCTTGGGACAGATGCTCTGAGGACTTCCAGAAATCCGTAAGCTCCAACAGTTTGAGGATCATGGGTTTGGAGCCGAGGGACTCAGCAGTGTCCTTCTGTGCTTTCAACAGAGACACCCGGCGATATGATTAACAGGAAGCCCTGCACAAAAATCCTACAGCTTTCTCCTTCCCTGAGAAACTGATGCCTACATGGGAAAGTTAGAAGGAAACCACAGACCGGAAAGGGGTGTTTGTGTGTATGTAGGAGAAGGTTGGGGGAGGGGGAACTGCTACAGCTGGGTTCCTGGAGATGAAAACCTCTAACTGATTTCTGGGAATCAGCCCCACAACTGTGTTCAGAAATTCACCACAAAGGGGAGAGCTGGAAGGAGACAGGGCAGAATGACACCCAAGAGCCAGAAGGACCTTTACGGGGGGAAGGTTTCTGGTAGCAGAGAGGTTGAGCATTAGCCTGCTAAACCCAGGGTTGTGAGTTCAATCCTTGAGGGGGCCTTTAGGGATCTGGGGCAAAATTTGGGGCTTGGTCCTGCTTCGAGCAGGGGGTTGGACTAGATGACCTCCTGAGGTCCCTTCCGACCCTGATATTCGATGATTTCTATGACCTGCCCCCGGTGTGTGTTCTTTAATCTAGCAGAGAAAGTCAGAAAGAGATCCGGTGGCTGGAAACTGAAGCAGGACAAACTCAGGATGTCAAGCCTGATTCCCCACTCTGGCACTTCAAGTGCAGAAGGTGCGGGCCCACAAGGACTCCAAAAATTAATACTTGTCACTCCAGGCTGGTAATGCTGCCACCACCCAAGTGAAAATTGCCTTTTACCAATCCAGAAAAACCTCACTTGGGAAGATTTTTCTGAGGCCCCTCAGCATTTCCACCCCTCCCTAGGGACAGCCGAGAAAGAAAACAATAGAAAAGGGAAGCTCAGCTGTTGTATCAGCTGATTAACATATGCACAGCCTCTTTACCTCCTGAGACACAGAAATCTAATCGTGGTCTTAAGAAAGGTAAATTTTACCAAAAAAAAAAAAAAAAGAAAGAAAACACCTCTGACAACTCAGGCTGTTAGGGACT